TGAGGGCCAAGGACTGAACACTGGCTTTCAGTTCCTCTCAGGCGCAATCCTTTTCACCATCTGCCGAAACGGACAAACTCTGCTGATGAAGCATATGTCCCTCTGCCCGCTCTGTCTATCTTTATTCACCCCTCTTGCTCACTCTTCCCTGTTATTGTCGCTTGCCAGTGGCAGTTTTGTATTATTTTATCAAAGTTTTCCGTCACACAAGCAGGACAAACTTTGTGTTGTTAATTCGTGCAAGTTTCTGGCAAGTATTTACGTGCTTCGAAGAGTCGGCTGGAAAGCTAAGTGAGGAGAGTGAATGGTAGGAAGACAGAGAGGGAGAGGTATGAGGGGGAAGAATTGAGAGCTACGTCTGGTATGAAAGTTTTCTATGTTAATGGCATAGTTTAGGCAAAATGTTTTTACTCTCTGCTCGTCCTGCCTTACCAGAACAGCCTCCTGCCACAGTGTTAGTGGAATTCCGCTTTCCTGCTCGTTTTGTGCACACATTTTGGTTGGCTTACGTTTTCCGGCCAAAATTAACTTTCAGTCGCCACATCGCTCGAGCCTCTCGGCCCACTGCCCTTGCCACAGCCACTGCCACTGGCACTGGCCCTTTCTTAGCCACATAATGTGCCATTGCCCCACGTTAAGTGACTTTCTTATGCTGGTTGTAAAATTTCCCTCTTTATACGAAACCATATGGATCCTGTTTTCCATCCTGTTTGCCACTATCCTGTGCGCCTGAGTGCGTGCGGGTGAGTGTGTGTGGGTGTTTTGATAACACTTGTTCCACACACTCCAACAGCTACTCCTTGCTGCGGTTAAATAATTCAAGACTATGAAAGCTTGTAATTTACTTGAGTACTCAACGGGCGCCTGCCCCTGCCCCTGCCCCCTCTCACATCTCTCTCTGCCACAAATGCGGCCACTGGGGCAAGTTAAGCCATTGACAAAAGTTTTGTCCAAAATAGTTTCGTGGAATTTTTTTCTTTTGATTTGTGTGATAATTTTGAAACTTTCGGGGCTCCTTCGACATGAGGAGAAACTGTTTATTTCGAGTCAAAGCTGCTGGGAGTTTTCGTTTGGATTCAGAACTGATTCCGCCCTCCCTCCCCAGCAGGCGATTGCTACTAATTAAATATAAAGTTTGCCAAACAATAAGTACTGCTTAAGTTGGCCAGGACTGTGCTCTGTGCACGGGTAAAAGGGGAAAATCGATTCACTTTCACCTGTTGGAGGCCAGTAAACTTGAGTTCTGTGGTTATATCGTCTTCTGGTGTAACAGTTGAAGTGGCCCCACGTACATACTCCACAGGATGCTCAAGGACTGCAGCATTCCCTTCAAGATTCCCTATTCCCATTGCCGTCGGCAAGCACGTTGGCCACTTGTGGCTTCCACAGCAACAGCCGCAGCAGCCGCAGCAGCAGCAGCAGCAGCAACTTGCTGCCTTATTAACATTTTGCCTGACAACAAATTACTCGTTCTGTCTAAAGCCCGAGAGAGGTGGTGGGGGGAGGGGAATGAGAGGAAGTGGCCAATGAGCTACTCCAGCTGATGAGTGCCACGCACTGAGGGAAATGCTTGCTCTGCACTAAGGCTCTGAACAAGCACCCACACCACACCCAATAGACGCGGTGACACCACGGCTAAGCTCGGTTCCTTGGAAGACTTAGACATTCCTTCACATAGACTGTTTTGCACATCCGAAATAATCGGTGTTTCCACACAGAGAGATCAACCGGCAGAAACCAATGCCAAGAATGATGTTTGTTTATATGTTTCTTGGTAAAGAAGATTATTTCCACAGTATATGTATTGACTCACCTATTGCCGAAAGAATATGGAAGATCTTGATCGAGGCTCTCTAGTGTGATGTTCAACAGGTTCTTCTTCTCTCTGTCTCCCTCTTAGAAGTTGTGGGAATGTTTTGAAGACCTGGACTATACAACCGCATTCTCTCAGTGGAGAAGTTTCGCCAACTTACTGTAACCATCCATCCCCCCAAATGCAATGGACTTATCAAGTAACAGTTTGCATGACTTACAGAAACAGGAACTGAACCTGGAGGAGGAGCTGTAGCTGCTGCTGATGACGGGGACCGATAAGCACGATGATGATAATGATGAGGTTTGGACAAAAATGAGCCAAGTGGCCAAAATACAATTTCCGACTTGGAGCAAACAGCTGAGTCTGCTAAATGCCCCAAAGTTCACCAGCCGGGGCAGTAGTTTTCCTTCGTTTTTTCTTCTTTATTTTGATTAAAAATTAACCACTGCTTGGTCGTGGGGGAAGAGCAGAACTGGAGGTTGGGTGGATAGGCATGTTGCTACGTGCCTGGCCTGGGAAATCAGGATGGAAAGTAAAGTAAATGCGTTTTGTAATAAATTCAAATTAACTTTGTAGTATGTCCAATGGACGGTCCGATGGCGTAACATGGTCATCAAATTGGTCATCGATTGAAACGTACACACACACACAAAACAATCATATCCGGTGGGAGAATGAAGTCCCATCCCAGGGTCTCAATCTTTAGTTTCTTCCAGTTATAAATTGTTGCTGGAAGCTCCTTTTTTGGGTTCGCCTCCCATCCCATCCCTTCTGCCTTCTTCTTTGCCTTTTCCGCTATCCGTTTTACAATGTTCACTTTGCAGATTCAACACGGACTTTGTGCCGGACTTAAGCGCATTACGGACTTCAGCTCCCACTTTGGATGCCGGAAGGGGAGAGCGAAGTCTTTTAATGTCTTATCGCTTGTGCAAATAAATAAGCGAGCAATGGCATTGGGCTCAAGTCTTGTTATCCAGCGAGAGCAATTGATTTATTTGCTGCTACTGCTGCTTGTCTTATGGAAATTTCCCAGAGATTCTGTGATTCAATTAAAATCTACTCCTTTTCAGTCCAGACACCAGCAGGTCCAGCAAATCGTGTTCTTCGGCTATTCCAGACGTCACATTCCGAAAGGCCAAGGCCCAAATCAATTATCAATAATCGATGTCCACTAATGCTTACCCTACTTTTTGTTGATTTACGTTTCGTATGAACTGTCTAACATGGATCCTTTCATCTAGTAGCAACTGAACCAAGTGGATATTTTTAGTTTTTGTTTGAATTGATTTGCCTTCGTTCCGGAGTCGGTTTGAAAGTCTCTCTCAAAATTTAGGTAGCAAACAATTTTAACTAATTTTCCAGCAAGACAATGGAGAAGTTTTGGACAGAGGTTGAACAGAGCCAGACTCTGAGCCAGGAGGAGACTGAAACCACAGCCACGATCCCATTTGAGACGACCGATATATCCGGTATATCTCTGGACGCACCCTCTGGATTGCACATCGCTACGGATATCCACCTGGAAAAGAAGTTGGAACCGGTCAGAGTCGTGGCGGGCCAAGACAGGAGTGAAAACATTGGCAATGGTTACATCTCCGTGGCCAGACGGCGGGGTCTGCCGCAGCTGAATCTGGAGCAGACCGAATCGTACATCTTCGAGCTACCAACAAGCTCCAACCAGTCTCTCGAGCCTGAAGTGGCGGAGGCCAAGGATACCAATATGCCCACCATTCAGGTGAACCCGCCCATCCCTCAGAATCCGGAGCTTGAGACGGTGGCTCCCGAGTCCCTTGACAGTTCCCTGCTGACAGTCTCGCAGCCCAGGTTGAGCAGTATTAAAGATCGTATCCTGCTCTTTGAGCGGACATGCCTTCCACCATCCGTGTCTACCGAGCCGGCCACTTCCGTATGGCTGGGCGCGGACACACAGGAGAATAGTGCCACAACTCCACTGACTCCGTCGATCAATATGGTCGAATTGAACTTCGACAGAATCGGTGCTGGTTGCTGTACCGTTGAGCCGTCGCAGGTGCTGGTGGAGCACATGCAGCCCAAGGCGGATGTGGCGGTGGAGGCCCACAGCGGCTGCCACCAGCAACCGGCCCGCCAGCAGATGGAAGCAGCTCAGCGCTTGGAGCAGACAAACTCCACTCTGGACCAAGAAATCGACCTAATGATCGAGCGCGCTTTGAACGAGGTGAACAAGATGGCTGTGGCCCCCAACGAAGTGGACAAGCTGAGAAACTACCTCCAGGCCAACAAGAACCGATTCAACAAGCTGGTTCAGTACCAGTATGACGAGAGCCTGCGTATGCAAGCAGAGTTTGATCGCCAGCAGAAGTTCCTCATCAAACAGATTTGCGCGGAAATAGAGTTGCCGTTCGCACCGCTGTCGGAGCATACCAGTACCCGGTCTCTGCAGCAGCAGGCCGATGAGCCCATTAGCAATAGCATGGCTACCACAAGTGGCGCTGATTCGCCCTATCTTGTACCTATTGCGGACAGCTACATCCCCAGTCACCCTCTCCTCAAGTGCTTTTTTGGAACAGGCCAAGGGGTTCCCAAGAGCTCTGAGCACGAGTCGAAGTCACTGTCCGGGACTGTCCGCAAAAGCGACCTGAACAATAGCAAGCGTCCAGCAGCTAGGTCTGCATCCACCGCCCAAAAAAGCAACAACTGCAGAACTCCAGGGCCAGTGTTCAAAGGAGTTGCATTCCAGCGCGTCGTGGGTGGCGGTGGAGGAAGTGTAGGCAGCGAAGATCCTAAGAAGACTTCACTAGGAAGGGGCAATGGAACCGCCACCAGGTCCCGCAGCACTGCACGCCGTCCTCCCCAGGGGCAGCAGCAACAGCAGCGCGGTGCATCAAAAGCCAGGAAGACATCAACGCCCATGCGCGGACGCAATGTGAGTTCACACAAGTAGACGGAGAAGGGTATCCCAAACCAGTTGGCTCTGGACCGAACCGAACATAAATAAATAGTATCAATTTTTAGATCGATCAATCAGACGCCTTTCCGGGGTTTCTGGCTTTCTGGGAAGGCAATTGTCCTTAATGGTTCGTTATCCTGCACCTGCGGCTTTCCACATTTCAGTCACCAATTAATATAGCTCTGGCGACCTCTAATCGATTGAAATTTGCATTTAAGGGGACTAGTCAAAACATATTTTAAAGGAACTATCGACCTACTTTCTCATTCGTATAATGATCGTGAACAGGGAGTATGCCATCTTAAGGGTCGAGAAGAATGTGTCCAAATGAATGCGTAACATGCCACCGGCAATCGCTGTGCTCTGCTTGAGCGATCGCTCCACAAAGAACATCATCTTCCGCTTGAAGCTCCTGCCCTGCTGTGGCCAATCGCAGCTGAAGGCGGCGTAGTGGAGGCGTCCAAACCAGAACTCGTTGTCGGTGCCAAAGTAGCAGGAGGGGAAAATCTGGAGGGGCATAGCGAGGGCATAGAAGATGAGATACGTTCGAGCCATGGGCTCGCTTACATAGAACACGAGAGCCGCAATGCTGATGCAGACATTCAGAGCGGTGACCGTGAATTGGATGAACATTGGCACCGACATGAGTCTCTCAATGCACCGGAAGAGTCTAAAAGCAAGGAGAATGAGAAAGTGGTAATAATCCTTTCGGTTGGTACCCACTCGAGCAAGCGCTTGTGATCGGTTATGCAGTCCTCCAGCTGCTTTTCCGCATTAATGGATGGATCCCTGCCAATCTCCTCGAAGCGGGAGTAGAGCATCTTCACGTGAGACGATATTAGGCAGAGCACCACCGCCGGAAAGCAATCACTGACATAGTTCTGCAAGAGTTGAAAGGAGATGCCAACAATCTGGTAGACATTGGCCATGTAGTAGTTCCTCGTGGAGGTTAACCAATCGAATGGGAAATAGGCGGGGTACATAAGGCCCCGCTGCTCCTTGAACAGGAACGACAGCTCGGCAAAGAGACCACACGGCATGTAGATGCCAATGAAGACATACAGGACTATGCGGAGTTGGAGCTTCACATTGCCGTAGATTGCACGCTGCTTTTCCCCACTCACTCGCTCATCCAGCAGCCGCAGGAGCTGCTCCATTCGTGCCACCTTGTCGATATTGTAGGCGTAGATGAGACACTTGGCGGAGCAGGCGAGACACGTCACAAAGGTCGTTAGATTGAGGATGTCCTCGGTGAGGGTGCGGTTGCGAAAGAGCGACAGGCCCAAGTGGAGCGGATAGCCGACTGTGACCATCACATTGGCCAGCACACTGAGGCAGACGTAGAGGCTACGCCAGGACTGCACTCGCTTGTGGGCCACTCCGAGTATCCACCATGCTGTCCAGTGGCTTCTGATGAAGCTCAAACTGTCGATGGCCTCCTCTGGCATGGCTGCTCTTTGCTTTCTAAATGTTCCTGTCGGATTAGGCTTGTTTTTATACACAGATGGATGTGCACACACCTACCCGACAGGCGTCTGTCCTCGCTACTGGCCTTTCTCTAATTATGTAATTATGGTCGCGTGGTCGTATCAATTTCAAATTATCACCGGTGCCACCTGCCGCTTGAGTTTTGTATTCCCAGCGAGCGGAATCCCATTTAAAATTCCCCCTGACAAATGGCTACCAGAGTTACTATTTTTCCAAAATTTAAAACTATTTCCCTCTTTGATGGCCAACAATTCGCTATAGCTTTAACAAAAAGCTGCAAATGGCACCGAATGCAAATGAAATGCCACATTATTTTATAGTTTTCAGAGGGGGCTTCTCGTCCCTCATTTCTGATGCTGATGCCTTTCATAATAAATGAAACTGACACAAAATCGGAATGTTTCGTTTAGCGGCGGCTCCTGCTGCTTCTGTCAGCGGTTTTTGCAACATCAAAATTTTCGCTGAAAAGTAGGCTACAGAATTTATGGCTCACTCCCAGGAACTTGCCACACTGCCACAACTGTGATCAAATTATTCGCTTGGTACAAATTTCCACGCAACACAAACCCGAAGGCATAGTTACTTTATATTCTCCCTCGCTCCATCGAGTGATGTGTGGATGGTGCATGCAATTAGCATGTCCACGCAGGCCACCAAAAAAACATGTTGCCATATTGCTGACAGCGCACCATAAATTGTTGCACGTTGAAATGGCATACACACACACATACATAAAACAGGCCCTCCATTACAGAACCAGACGGTGCGTATAGTAATTCATGGCTGTGAGGCAGTCACCAGTCCTCGTCCCCGACCAATCTAATGTCTTAATTGTTGCATGTGGCATCTACGCTGACACTGCCACATGGATACAAAAAATACTGTGCACAACAATGCCAACAAAGCCCTAACCCAATTACGACGGAACGGATGTGCAGGGCAGATCCCACCGCTAAATCCCTCGTATGCGAAGCCCTCCATTTGTAGCGGAAACACATTCGTAACCATCTCTGCCCGAGAGTCGAGTGGCATAAAATGATGCATGTCGATGCTCCCCTCTTTCCCATCTATTCAAGCGGCAGGTTGCACAAATGCCAGTTTCATATCGGAGGAACGGAACGGAACGGAACGCGTTGTTTGTCTAACACAACACAACGCAGCTGCTGCTGCTGCTGCCGCTGTCAGCGAGCAAGAACGACAACAATGTAATTATCATAATTAAAAGGCTGCCCCTGTCGCCAAAAAAAAGCCCCATCCATGCTACCCGCAACCACGAGAATGGGAGCGAGAAAATGTTCACAGCGGCCATGAATTTCCTATTAAAAGCTGCTCCCCAAACGACTGCGGAGGCTGGCGGGTGCATCGGTGGACGGTGCATGCTGGGGCTGGGGCTGGGGCTGGGGCAGCCCCTGCCGTGGGATGAAAAACCGGAGATGGTGGATGCAGGTTGGTGGCTGGGACTGCAGCTGCATAATTGAGGTAGTTTCACTAATTGTAAAACGTTGCGCATTAATTGCGTCTGCAGCGTTGCGCATTTTGTGGCTTGGCACTCGAGAGTCGCCTCCAATCGCCCTAAACACCCATTAGACACCCCACATCACCATTTTCCTGGGAGAGTGGAAACAAGAAACTATGATGATGACGTTCTTCCTCAGTTTTCTTCATCTTATGAGACGCGTACGTCTTGTTTTTGTTGTTCAAGAGAGCTGCTGCCGCACCTGGTGTATGAGTTCTTATCAGTGATTCTTATCATCGAAGAAAAACTCACCACACGAATGCCGGCGAACTGAAATATTCTGCATCGTTCTGCGCAGGACCTGGAAAAATATCGAATACTGGTAAGATAATAATATCCAAAATTTAAAGCATTTCTTTGGTTCTTTCAGGGGAAATGTTATAATTCTTGGAATAGTAAGCGGTGTAAGTATTACCAAAGTATTACCATGCAAAACATTTTGAGAGAATTATCAAAGGATAACAGTGCGGAAATCGCAGTTATATTTATAAATTCCTTAATGTATGATACAAATGTTATTCAATGAAACTTTGCATTGGAGGTAGTTGCAGCTGCCTCCGGTTGTTCCCACAGGACATGCCACTGAAAATGCACGCAACAGTTTTCTTTCCACACAGCCAACGGCTTATCACAACAAGAATTGCCGCTTCCAGGCTAATCAGAAACATCGCTGGAAGTGGAAACACACAGAGAGGAACAGAGAGAGAGAGAGAGAGACAAAGAGAGAACACTAACCTGCCTCAATAGCAGCAGTCAGAGGTAGGGCTTTCACTTTTACCCCGCTGCCCCATCACCACACAATGGCACGATGCTCCACAGACCCACATGGACGAGAACGAAGATGATTCGTGACCGTCGCGTCGGTTCGTTCTCTGGCTCGTACTAGGGGCTCGTGTCGGGGTGTGGTGAGTTTTGAGGAGTCGCCACCGAATGTGGCACTAAATGAAGCTCGAGTTCGGATGGCGGCAATTATTCGCAGTTCGTTTTTAAACGCGTCGCGGCGTGGTTGCGTGTGCAGAACGAACATGCGAACGGGCGAACCCAAAGGAAGAGATTCCAACTGCAAAAGACTCATCCTGACGGACAAACGATCGGTGCTCACGATGTGCGAGTGAAAGTGAAGTTCCGATCATTGAATCTGAAGATGCCTGAATGAGCTTATTGGTGAAACAATAAATTTAAAAATAATAGATATATTAAGCATAGGATAATATTCATATAAACCGGATAAATATCATCTAAGTATATTTCAATTAATTTCGCAGCTTACGCCTAGAGGGTGAGTATAATTTCAGCAAATCACACATCAATTTCCCCATCCCCATCAGCTGAAAAGCAAAATGAAATTATTTTTTAAATCATAAGTTAGTTTAAGGAAAACTTTTCTTTGTTTTGTGCTTGTCGAAATCATAAATGGAAAAATAATACCCCTTTGGGCTACTAGTCGGTTTCGGTCTCGGTCCCTGCAAAACGATTTTCCGTCGGTTTGGAGGGTATACGAAATTAAATTGTCCGGACAACGGGGCTTACGCGAATCCATTTCCAATTGAATGCACAGTGCATCTGTGCCCGCAAAAGGTCTTTACATTTAAATTGAATAATACTGAAAACAACTACGAATGCCAGCATCATATTCACTGGTCAGCAAAATGACACACAAGGCATGCAAAAATCTCCCGGCTATTTGGGGACTCTCTCGCCTCTTTTTTTTTATTATTAAATTCAATTACATTAAAAGGTGGCTTTAAAATGATGACACAAAAGTGAAAGGCAATCAACGAACTGCAACATGTGGGGGATGCTGATACTTTGCTGCTGTGAAAATTAATTCCATTCCAGCACAGAAGAACAGGGTTCCATTGACGTGTCACATTGCCACATGCCGCGTGTGGAGCGGCTCAGAGAGTTCATTTTCATGTTAAAGACACCAACCAAACGGGGGGAACAGAGTAGCAAGTCAATTAATTAATAGGAGGACAAGAAGCCAGCGAGCAGGGATACAGCAATGTGTGCGGGGAAAGAAGAGCGGCCGAAATCACGCATACGCCGTGTGAACTCGTAAGCCGTTCCATGGCTCCAGCCTATGGCCAGTGCCAGCCGAAGTGTGAAATTGTATTTTATTCTCTCACTTGGAACCCAGCACATGTTCACGTTTTTGGCTGTGTTTCTCATCGTCTTTCTTCTCCATCTTTGGCCTTTCGTTGGTGAACTGATTAAACCCTGTGGCCTCGGTGCCAAAAAATTACCATCAGCCCCTAATGGGTAGAAATAATTTCGGGAAAACTTCTGTGAAATGCGGATGTGTTCAAGGAAATGGCCACCTTGTGGATGTCGTTAGGCGTATCTATGTGTCTGTGAGCGTCCTTCAGAATCGGAGTTATTATGCTCTTAATTCAAGTTAATTGCTTGCCACCTGCCAAGTGGCACCGCCTTCCTGTGCCTGGTGGCTTCCGCCACTTTGCACTTGCACCCAAGCGAAGCTCTTCTGTTTCTAATGATTGTTTTAATTTGAATCATTTACCTGCACACACCATACGCTTGGAGTTACCCCAATGCTTACTTTCCCTCTCGCTCTCTCGCTGGCCATTTCCCCGCTCTACTCTTCCCATTCATGCTCGTAACGTAACTGAACTTTGCATACAAATGGGCCAACTTCTGGCCGCCGCTTGTGCTTTATGAATGTAAATGTACACAGCTTCAAGCTTAAATCTTTATGCCTAAAGCTGATGCCTGCAGTTTCCCCATCGACCCCCTTGCGGCGAGTGCGCGGTGGCGGTGGTGCATCGAGTACCAGTTCCAGTTATCTGATTGGATACACTTGCAGATAATTCGGGAAAATTTTTAGATATTTTCTTTTTCATTTATGTTGGAGCATAATCCAAGAGTTCATCTTAAACAATAATTCATCCTTTTGGCCAAGCTTTAATTAATATCTGACCTTTCAGATGACCTTATGATCGAGAAGAGCAAATTTATTTGACATCACAATCATCAACGAATGATTGTTAAGGTTACTCTCTTGGTTTATTGCCTCTGTCTTGGCTTTCACTCTGGAGCTACTTTTACAACGATTAAGAAACCCTAAGGAATTTTCACGAAACGCATTCATTGCTGTTCCCTTTTGGTTTTCCTCCGAGTGTGGATACGGCTATGTCAATAGCTGGGGGCAGGCTTTCTTCATCTTATCAATTTTTGGCTTCGCTTTCATTTTCTGCTGTCCTAGTGCTATTTCGAGGTTGATTTTCAGCTTAGCTACTGATATCTCCAAGGAATCCCTAAATGCTGTCTTAAATTGTTTCTTGGAAATATGAATCTGAAGACATGTGTTTTTCATTCACGGAATTTACCTAAGCTTTTCCCACGGTCTTTCCGAGCACAGCAGCCATACGGACTTATAGAGGAATTTGCATAATTCTATAACTACTTAATCTGCCTCGGCTGGTAAAA